TCCTGAATTCAACCTCGCTTGAAGCTCCCTACTGTCCCACTCACCCCGCTCCAATGTGTAACGTCTTGTTGTCAGCATAAAATTAACCTCTTCGTTACCCTCACATTCCTTGATCTTTTTGGCCAGTCCAAAAACTGTCAGTCCCGCAATGTCGAATGGCACCAAATGCCTCCAGTCCTCCTCGAGTATGTCGTAAGCCAGCTTCCAATATTTTGCGGGCAGCCTTAAGCCCTGCTCGCATGGGGCGGCGACTTCAAATGAAGGAATAGGCCGCTCAGTGAGAACATCTTCTGGTCTTACTCCTACTAGACCACTTTCTCCTTCTAGAAGACAGTCGATTTCTTTTTTCAAAGGACAGTCAATTGCTTCAAGGGGGACGTAGTCATCATCATGCCTCAAATACTCGAACAGGTCATCAAAGGTAGCCTCACCGAACAAAACATCTTTGAGCCCAACACTACCGAAAACATCGTGTGGGGGAGCTGTATTGCTGGCAGCACCATGGCCCATGACAACGACATGGTCGCCGCTAGTGGTACCATTGAGCGACCTGGACTCAGCTATCTGGGCTTCCCTCCCCTCAAGGACACTCTTTGATGATTCCACTCGCATTTTCTTTGATGGCGGTAGGTCTAGATCTGTGGAGGCCGAGCCATAGCCGTTGCCCATGCCCAGGAACATCGTCGTTAGACTTATGGGAGAGATTGTGGGAAGTAGGCAGCCTCGCATTTAATTTTTCCCTTCGAAAATATCACTCGAAATGCCGGTCCGGGGTGATGCAAAAGAGTCAGAAAATCAATCTGCTGTCACTATATCTCCTTGGCCTTCTCGTTCCTTGGTGCGTCAAGCACCTCTACGCCGCACTGGTCAACACTGTCTACTACTGTGTAGCCATGATCGTGACTGCCTATGCCCTACTGGCGTTGTTCTGGGAGTATGTTCCGACCCTACTGCTCAGCGTCCACTCGGCTGTGCGTTTTATCCGCACATGAATTCTTTCCGGGACTCTGTCCCTCTAGTGAGGAAAAGCAGTAGAAATCGAATGAAGTCCGCACATCCTGCAGACGTCCCACGAGGTATATCAACCAACACGTTTCTCGAAAAAGGAGACACGAATAGAGGTTGAAGTAGCTAGAGGTTGAAGTAGCTAGAGGTGGACAACCATGCCGTTTCTGCTGTTGTTCTCTTCTTGGCATTTGGATCCCCTGGTGCGTTAAGCGCCGACACGTTGTGCTCCGAGCTTTAGCGAAAATTAGATACTGCAGTATTGTCGTCTCCGTCTCTCTCTACTCGCTCTCCTTTTGGACTACATCCCCATGCTACTAGCAAGAGCCCGTCTGACCTTCCGACTAGCTCATACTGTGCTATTCTACGGACCCCTCTCTCTTTACTCTTCGGCCCACATCGTCTTAAACCCTCTCTTTCTCTTATTTATGTTGGTCGCTGTGTTCTTGCTCTACCGACGTCAGGCGTTCTTGTCCGATCGTCCAGTTTTACTCTCCAAGTGATTATACCAGACATGAAATTTTACTACATCAGACCTATAGTAAGCCAAGAACACGTACTGCTGATCAAGACCAGTCTACCAATGACGAAAAGATGCTCGATAAGATGCTTACCGATGATGTCATCCAACCCCCAGCTAGCCCGTACAGATCTGAAATAGTCATGGTGCTTAAAAAAAAAATAACTGGCGTGTGTGCATCGACTACCGTACCCCTCAATAAAGCTACCATTAATGATAAATACCGAAGCTCTCCGAACTAAATCGTTCCCTAAAAGACTCAAAATATTTCATAACTCTAGATTTACGCAATGGCTGTTGGCAAATTCCGATGGCTGATAATTCCATTCCTTACACTGCATTTCGTCTCGCTACGAATTCAAGGTCATGCCCTTCGGGCTCAGGAACGCTCCTTCCAACGCAGCATGAACTTCCACCTACGCTACTAAGGTTAGTCTACCCAGACGGTATCTTAATTCATACACCGGATGTAGCATCGATCAAGTATTCGAGCGTTCCTCTCGGTGACACTTCCTCTCGGTGACGAGGGCCGGAACGGATCCGCAGGACCTATTCCTTGCAGTCGTCTATTCATGGAAATAATTTGTTCCCGTTTCTCGGTCAAGTTCAGCTAGTCTGTACATGACTACCCGCTCGAATTCCCATCGATCCAGACCTTCGGGACTCTGTCGGGCTGCTCTGCTTTGATAGCTCCACCAGGCAGTCATTTTTTTTGTTATAGTTTCCGGGCTGTTGAATAACGTTGGATCACACTCCCATGGCGAGACAACACGTCGCGCGGCTTTTCTGCATGGCGGTGCAAAGCCGATGCTGCCGGCAATCTGATCCACAAGGCTCCTGAAGGTTGGCACGCCGTGGCTGTGAAAACTACGCATCTCACAAAAATGTCTTGAACGTAACCATTCCCAAAACTCCACAAGGTCCCAATGGCTCTCGCATCTCTCACATCCGCTGCCACCACCGTGACGAACATTACCTTCTGTACACGAATAAAAACCGGCTGACAATAATGTACACGTCCGGCTCCGAATTCTCTCGACCGCCTTGGCTAAACCGAAGACTGACAGCCCGATCGGATCTATACCTTTGGATACCGTGCTCCACCAGCCATAATTTTTAACGTCGTAGGCCCATACCAAACACGACGGGCTGACCCGGTGTCCTGCCTCATCTACCGTCGCTATCTGAAACCTGTCTCCCCAACGATTGATTAGGAATTCAGGAATACTGTCATTCACAGCCTCACCCTGGAGCTGCGCTGCCTCACGTATTCGTCGCCTCCGCTGCTCCCTCCGAATCGCCTTTGGAACTTCTGTCAAAGGTACCTTCAAAGATCCCGCCTTTTGTAAAGCAAGCCATTCAAGTATTTGAGGCTTCTTTATCGGAGGAGAACATAAGCGGCCACCGGCCCTCCACCAGGCACTCATGCGGCTGGCAAGCGTTCCCGTAAATGATCTAAACATCGGCCAACGCAACAATATTTCCTCTACTACATCATTCTCTTTCTCCGATGCAGTGGGTGGGTATTTCTGCCGGGAAGCTCTTTTAGAACCCTCATCATTAAAATGACCCAATTCCAGCAGTTTCTGAAAGTCTTCATTGTTCCACCTGTCCCGCTCCAATGCATATCGTCTTGCTGTTAGGATAAAATTGATCTCTTCCGTATCCTTCCATTTCATGGCCTTCTCGGCCAGTCCGAAAACCGTCAGTCCCGTAATGTCGAAGGGTACTAAAAGCCTTCCAGCCCTTACTGAGTACGTCGTAAGCCCATTTCAAATATTTTGCAGGTAGTTGCAATCCCTTCTCGTTGGGGATCGCAACTTCAAATGAAGGAATGGGCCTGCCACCGAGCACGTATTCGGTCTTCATCCCTACCGCAGGACTCGCTCCTTCCAGAAGACAGTCGATTGCTTCAAGAGGAACATATTCATCATCGGGTCTCAAATATATTAATAGGTCGTCGAATGAAGCTTCGCCGAACAAAAAATCTTGAAGAGAAATGCTACCGAGATCCTCCACCGAGATAGCTGTCGTGTTCACGACATAGTCCGTGATATTGGTAGCACTGAGAAACTTTGAACTTGTATACGAAGGTCCGTCATCTTCAAGGAAACTTCCTTTAGGTTCCAGTCGCGTTCTGTTGGACGACGACACAATCAAATCCTGACAGCCTAAGCGGTTATCGTTGGCCACGGCTAAACCAATCGTCGCTAGACTGATAGGAGAGACGGAGGGGGATAGGTAGCTACGCATATAATTTTACCTGTGTAATTTTACCCGGAACTGCGCCGGTTGGGGTGGAATCCTCTGAGGTGATGTTTACGTATACGCAAGTGTTTGAAAAAGAGGTGCCCCCCCATTACGAGTCCCACCAGGCACTCATCCGTTTTTGGATAATTTGACGGCGGCGCAGGAAGAGCACATCACTTGTCTTTTCTCCCGATATTTTTTTTGGTCAGCCCAAAAGCCATCAACATAATGGCACCCCAGAGCCCGGCGTAAGCTTTGCAAGCAGTTATAGCGGCGACATGGCCGCCAAGACTCGGTGCGAGTCCATGCCCGTGGGGGAAACCTTCTGGCCGTTCGATCCGCATTCTCTTCGACGCCATGCTCAAAACAATCGTCGGTGGACTCATCGGAAAGATGCAGGAGGTCGGTAGCCCGGGGTTGGTAGCCGGGTCGGAATTCTCCCTCTGTTTTTGGTCGTCAGAGTTCTTCATGGGGGCTAGTAACCAGTTACATACAGTAGCACTGGTGACTCTACCCGTCTTCAGAATCGATTGCGCGCGCGTGTGCTCGAGACAAAAGCTCCTGGAAGAGAAGGAAAAAAACTCTTATGAGCGCCCAAGACATCGCTGCCTTCTTCCAGACTGAATTGGAACGTGAATTGGATCATGAGGGAGCGGAGAAAATCTCTAGATGCTTGAAGCAGGGCGTGGAATTGGATGACTTGTTGGAGTACTTGTTTCGAGTGTTGGAGACCGTCGACCTCCAAGACGACTCGATACCAGTCTGGTGCGTGGGCCGCGCTTTGCTGCTTCTGGAAGAAGAGAAACGCATTGCGCTCGAAGTAGGATCTGCCCGGAAGGAGAAGTTTAGACCCGTCCCCCAGGCCGCGGCCCAAACGGCGCCAGCGGCCCAAACGGCGCCAGCGGCCCAGAGGGCGCCGGTGGTCGAGGGTGCGGTGGAGGGTGCGCTGGAGGATGAGGAAGAGGTTCCGGCATCTGTTACGTTATTGACTAGCATATTGGCTCGGTTGAGGGGTCGGTTTGAGGTTGTCGCGGTGGATAAGCCTCTGTGTTACAACGGGCAGTGTTGGCGAACGAGCGCAATGTCGTTCGGGGATCCGGCGAGTGTGTCTGTGCGTTGGCGTAACAGGATCCAGTATGTGATGGACAGCATGCGAGAGGAGAACGTATACCAGTTTGCATACGACGATGTAACAGAGGGTCAGAATCTTGTCCTGATTGGAGAGCAAGCGATTGGCTACGAGAACAAAAAGATACGGGTGCTGGGCATCCTTACAAGCGACGGCATGGTCGTCTTCCCCGAAAATGCGGTTCCTGATAATGCACTTCCCCAAGATCCGCTTCCCAAAGATCCGCTTCCCGAGAATGAAGATATAGAGGATGCGGGTCTGGTCAGGTATGCCGGGCGCACCGGAGGTAACCCTCTCGGGAGTCAACGTGCTGGAAGTCAACGTACCGGAAGTCAACCTAGTGGGAGTCAACCTAGTGGGAGTAAATCAATGGGCAGAAGAGAAAAACGGCCGACAATTCCAGTTGACTCTGTAGACTGGATTTTGGAGTGTAATGGCCGTCTAAAATTGTGTCTGAATCAGGCTTGTTGCGTTGACGACTCTTTCGTTGGCGAGGGACACATAGTTTTGGTGCATGGAATATTTACCACCGATACAGGAGACCATCGTCCTACTATATATGGTATGAAGGTAGGTCATCCATTACAGCATATTCACCAAATTAAAAAAAGAATAGCGATACAGTCTCGCGAAGAGCATGACGTTGCTGAAACTATGAAGGAGCTTAGAGAAGTTCGGGACTCATCATTAACTAAAAGTTTGTGGATCATACTGAACAATTGTATGTTTGATCGATTAGAAAGGCTGGAATACATAACCGAAGTTTTCAACTGTAAGATGGATCGGCCGGGATGAACGTACTTTTTCCCGAAACACACGTGTTCGATAAAAACGCGCATTCGATCCGTTTTTTTTTTTCAGATTACGAGAAGCACGGGGTTCGTGTCGATGATCCTGAAGAAGTCTGGGATAACCTACAGGACAAGGATGCAATCCCGCTGCCAGTTGGATTTGTTCTAATGGGAAACTTTTCATCTTATACACCCGAGGAGGTATTTGTTCCTACAACTAATCTTACCACTCAAATGGGTTATGTAGATAATCATGAGTTGTACTTGAATACGTGGCAAATGTTTTATGATTTGGTATCAAAACATCCTAAAATATTGGAGAACTGCAAAATACTCTTGGTGCCAGGTCCAAATGATCCTGGAATCCCACTGCTACCTAGAGGCCCGATAGTAGAACCGCTGCGATGCTATGTCGATAAAGAATTGAATGCTGTAAGAAAAACTTCGGAAAGCGATAAAAAGGAAAGTGATAAAAGGGAAAGTGGTAAAGTAATATTTACAGCTAATCCGGTGATGATACGAAGTATGGATCATGACTTTATGATACTACGTACAAATATATGTCATTATATGAAAGATCGAACGTATCTTTGGTACCGTCCGAAAGCTCTAGAGGATGATATTAATTCCAACGTTGCTTGGGATGCTTTTATAAGGACAGTAGTGGGTCAAGGACATCTTTTACCATTACCAGATCCATATCCATCAAAGGTAGCCTACACACAACCTCACTTGGATAGCCAGTTGTATCTCACGAATGCAACGAAATTTTACATTTACGGGGACCGATTTTGCGAATTCAACGTGACCAAGGTAGATGAAACGGTGTTTGCAAATGTACCCAATGCAGCAGTCTTGGATATAACGGGCCTGACAGTCCAGAACGGCTGGAAACTGAATCATATCTGAATCATACCCAGTCTCACGAACTAGACGGCAATTCAGGAAGGTCGCTGCGTGTGCTGATGCTAATCATTTGCGATGGGTCGGATACCGGATGCCACACCTGACATAGCGACATTAATCTCTTGAACGTCTGGATGTATCGGCAGGTTACTTCATCATTCAAGATGTGTGCGATTTCTGACGATGCAATGCGGCTTCTGCCAACGCGCTCATGAATACCGACCATTGTAACACCCATGGGCCATGGCTTATTACCGATAGACAATAAGATGTATACGTCATGAGCAAGCTTATACTCTCTCTTCACGCAGTGCTGAACCACCGACGCCAGTTTATCACGGATGTCCGTCGTCAGCGTATCCATGCTGAGCATTTTAATCAGTGGCGCCAACGCCTGCTGCGACGAGCTGTACAATTTCGAATCGCTTCTACTTCTAACTATATTCTCGCCCCATACACTTAAACATGTCCGGATAAATGATAAAATTAACTCATCTAAGAAACAGGTGAAATGGTGTCCGATATTATTGGGAAATAGCACATGACATCGTGCGAACCGCTACCGTAGGCTAACGGCCCCTTATCAGCTGGTTGCATATTGCCAGCGTACGCAAGCTGTATATTTTCCGCACAGGTGATTTGTGATAGGTAAACTGAGAGGAAGTGATAGCTGCCCCCAGGATGTATCCCAGGATGTACCCCAGAATTCCCGGATTGGCGACCGTTGAAGGAGACAGAAGCTGACCACAATACAAGCTCGCATTGGTCTCCGCAGGAAGGGGGTATCTTACTGGGATGCGAATTCAGGTTTATAGAAGGAATATCTGAAAATAATTGGCCTTCGTATAATCTAATCAGCGACTTCGCCCTTTCGATGACGTCTGCAGTCGTTTCTCCATATAGTTTCAACGGCTCGTTGTGTTGGCTGAGTAGTCTGTAGGCCTCTCTCAAATCGGCGTTTGGACCCCGTTTCACTGAACCAGTTAGAGGCGGTGCAGCGCGCTTGGATCTGTTTGATTGGAAATATTCAGATAGCTGCTCTAGCTCTTGAAATCCGTGGTTGGTATCCGTCCCTGAAGATGGGATCTGCACCAATTTCGATGGTGTAGGTTGGGCTTCATTAGAGCTGGTCACTGAAATTAATTCGTACAACATTTCGCGACTTCCGACCGCCCCAAGCGCCGTTTCGCACGTGTGTGTGCCTGGTGTTAAAGAGCGCGCTTACCCTTCTTTTGTTTGATTAGGCCCCTCAGCTTCTTCATAAAAAATATGCTGCCTCCAGCGCCTCGATTCTGGGCCGCAAGATCCGCGGAAATCGATCCCAAAATGAATTTAAGCTTAGATGAAGACACAGTACAAGTTAATGATTTGAGTATACATTATTATTCGGTGCAGAAAGAAAATACGCCGCCCGGTGCGTCGGTTACAGATGCAATCGATCCCCTTGTTATACCTGTCTGTAACTCGGGCCCGTCTGGGGCAGCTGGAAAATGTTACGATGATATCGCAATCCTAATTCATGGCGCGGGACATTGCGGAATGAGCTATGCTTTGTTGGCGGATTTGCTTCGATCGCATTTCACCGTGGTTGCTCCTGACCTCCGCGGCCATGGCAAAACATGGAGAGGCATAGATGAAGATTTGTCTGTTGAAACTTTGGTAGATGATTTGGTGTGCTTCGTGAAAACGTATCTCGTGATGAAGGGCAAATCCACTAGCCGCGTTCTACTGGTTGGACATAGCATGGGCGGTGCGGTTGTGGTAAAGGCAGCACGAGAGCTGCTGGACCAAAAGATATTACATTGTTTGCGATTCTTTACGAAGCCCCCAACTCAGGACGATACAAACCCGGAAGGTACGAGTCAGAAGTCATCTATGAGTTCAAAGACCGCTGTCAGTCCGGTTAATTACCTCAATGGGGTTGTGTTATTGGATGTGTGCGAAGAGGTTGCTCTGGCTGCTCTTCCGAGTTCCAAACGTTTTGCGGAAATGATTCCCGCAGAATTTGCCTCCGAACAGGAAGCGATAGAATGGACAAGTCACCATCTAGTTCGGAATCACACCTCCGCTACGTTGAGCACCCCACCTCAACTGTATCGAGATCACGATTGTTTTCGCTGGAAAGTTAAGTTGCTCAATACGCAGCGATGGTGGCCTGGATGGTTCCAAAATATGGACAAAATACTCATGCAGTTACCTTGTCCTACTAAGGTAGTCATTGTCGCAGGCATAGACAATATTGGGAATGATATCGTTGTCGCGCAAATGAGTGGAAAGCTCCAGCTTGAAGTCATCCCCAAATCAGGACATATTATTCATGAGGACCAAGCCAAAGAGGTCGCCGAAAAACTCATCAGTTTACTACTCCGGCAACACAAAATGGAATCTGTTGTGCTATCCCACTGAGATATTCAGCTAGATCGGAAAAAATAACAGACCACGGGCTTGCAGCCGCGCCAGATTGGTTTATTTCATCCACCCCCGGACTGATATCCGGCTCGAGACTTCTTTTTCTCTTCGTAGAGGGGCAGAGAATATATACAAAAAAAAACGTGTGCGCACACGAAAATTCCGGGCGCGCGCGAGCGAGATTGACTGGCCGTAGCCCCTGCTGCTAGCGTACCAGCAGCAGCATGATCAAGGAGCTCATGGTCAGACCGATGATCAAGGTGCCGTCTTGGTACTGAAGCAATCTCTGGACGACATAACTACAAAGATGAGATGTACCGGGATGAGATGGGTGGCATACTTTAGTCTGACCACGAGAGCAGAGGACAGAAGCGAGGCATAGAATCGTCGGAATTTTTCCTCTGCACGTTGCCGCCAAGTTTTGCCGAGCAGTCTGCTGAGAAGCTTCAGAACAGGTTTCGCGACGAAGACGAGCACCGCGCTTTTGTGGAACTCGTTTTCGACATGGCTGAAGGGTGACTTTTGTTGGAGCTGTATTTTGAGTGCGTGATTTTCAGCGATGAGTTGGTCGAGTCTTTGGCTCTTGCCAGCCAGTCGTTCCTCGAGGGCCATGACCGTGTCCACATCGACTTGTTTTCGCGTCTCTTGGCTGAATTGGGGCTTGGTTTCGCTCTCCAGCTCTAACACGCGGGTTTGCCATTGTTGGTTTTGCCGCACGAGTTCATTATACTGATTCATCAGGTTGCTGTTCGCCGCTTCTGTTGCCCGCAACTGAGACTGCAGCTGACTTAGCCGCGTCTTAATCAACTCCGCCCATTGCTCTCCATCCGAGTGCGCATCCTCGTTCGAGTGGGGACCCCCACCGGCGTTGGGGGCCACCGTGTCCTTGACCAAGTTTTTGAGGGCCTGGACCTCGTAGAGACGGGCCTTAAGTTCGTCACGCTCAGCGACCAGCGAGCCGAGTTGGTTCTTGAGGTGTTCGGTCTGCGCCTTACTACGCAACAGCTCGTCCGTGGCGACGAGGCTGTCGCTGGAATGTTGGCGTGCGGCTGCCTCCAGCTGTCCGCGGAGAGTCGCGGCCTCCTCCTCCCTCTGTAGCACCAGCGCACCGAGCTGTTGCGCCTTCTCGCGGGCGCTTTCGCTTTCAGTCTCCAATTCCGCCAGCCGCGTCTGCAGTGCCTCACGTGCGCGATTGCCGCTTTCCTGTTCCGCCCGCAGCGCCGTGGCCAGTCGCTCTGTCTCGCGCTGCGCCGTCTGCTCAGCCGTCTGGAAACTTTGCTCAGCTGTCTGGAAACTTTGCGTTCGGGCCTGAAGCTCGGCGGCCATTGCGGCACACTGTTCACCTGCCTGCCGTGCACGCACTCCCTCCATACGCCGACTTTCCTCCAACGCTTGAACCTGCTCCACCAGCTCGTCGCGCTCTAGCTGCAGCGTCTTCACCCACCCCTCCAGTTCCAACACCTGCGTCGACAAACGCGCAGTCGTCTCCATCAACTGCTCCAAGTCGCCCGGCAGCGCCTCCGCCTTGCCCTCCGACGTCGTCGTCACCTGCCCAGTCGCCTGACTAGTCGGGTCCCCCACCAAGTCCGGAGATATCCGGGCAGAGTCCTCCTCAGCCGACGATTCCAGGCCGGGGTACTGACGACTCGGAGCCGGAGCCTCTGCAGCCGGTCGCGGCAGGCCTTCCGGCTGGGAGACTGCGGCTGGCAGTTCTGCGGGTCGCGGGAGCTCATTGCTTTGGAAGCCGCACGTGCCCTCCGCCGGCAACGACTCGGCAGTGGCAGACGATTTGCCTTCTCCGTCGGCCCCAGACGCCGGTCGGGTGCAATGGCCGTCTGTGAGCGTGCGGTCCGTCTGCGTGTGGTCCGCGTGCGTGTGGGTATGGTGGTCATGTTCTGTGTCCACGACGACGTTGTCGCGCTCTATCTTTTGCCCATTCACCAGGAGACTTCCTTCACTTTGTGCCGCCCCCGCGAGGCCGGGTCCTCCAGGGAAGTTCGCAGCACTGTAGACCGAGTCCGTTCCCGGGAGAATACGGGGCGAGACGGCCGGGGGCGAGAGTGCAGGGGGTGCGTGGATTTCGCCGCTAAGGATGGCTTGCGCCAGCGGACCATCCTCGGGTGAGAGGGTCGTGAGCGGTGCGGCGGGCGAGGCCGCCGGGGGAGGTTCTACCGCGGGGGGTAGGTCCACCGTTGGGGGGTCCGCCGTCGGGGGCAGGGCCTGCTCCTCGTCGCTTTCCTCAATCAGTTCCTGCAACTTGCTCTCGACCGCCTGTCGTCCGGCCGCTGCGGCGTTCTCGAGCGTGGCAGCGACAGTTTTGACGCGCGAACTGGCCCAGCTTCCCAGCGTGGAGAAGGACGCCGAAAAATCTGCAAGCAAGATGGGCAGTAGCTGTGTCAAGTGTCCGGAGTGCAGGTCGGCTGGTTGAGCCGGCTGGGCGAGCCGGCTTACTTTTTACGGGTGTCACGTCGGACGCATTGTCCATTCTTTTTATGCGAAAGCAATGGCCTGAGAGGCGTGGTCTTGGCTTGGGGGAGTTTGGCTTGGGACCTGTGTCTTTAAGGACCTGGGAGTGGGAGGGATGGTTTGGTTCAGAAGGTCTGGCTAGTCTGGTTCGGAAAGTCTGGTTCGGAAGGTCTGGTTCAGGAGTTGGGAAGAGGAGGGGCGTCAGGTTCAGGAGCAGAGAGTGGTCAGGCCCAGGAGTGGAGGGTGGGTGTGTTGCACGTGTTGCACGTAATTGGGGGTGGCATGCGTGGCTCAGTTGCTGTGTTGTTGTTGTGCCTGGCTCGAGGCGCGGATGTGGACTGCACGGGTGTGATTCCGTGGGATGAGACGTTGTCTGGGAACGGTCCGTGGAAGGTGCACAAGGACGGAGTGTTATACACATCTGAGACGTGGGTGGATCCGACAAATGTGCCTGGTGCGGATTCGGCAGGGTGGTCGCCCTGGACGGCAGTGGGAACATGTATAGCTGGAACGGCGGGGGACGGGAGCGAGGCGGCTGGTACGGAGGACTGTACTGGGGTGGCGGCTTGGTCGGGTGCGACGACGTATGCGGACCCTGGTCAGAAGGTGCACTCGGATCACTACTTATTCCAGAACAAGTGGAACGTGGTTGCGGACAAACCGGACCCTAAGGACCGCCAATCGGCCTGGGAGCTGTTGGGGAAGTGCGTTGACGGCACGGATTCAACAACAACTCCCGACGACGGCGGTGGCGATGCCACCGATTACCCTGACGACATGTGGGAGCAAACGTGTGTGTGCTGCCAAGGCTGTTCCAGCATAGAAAACGGACAGGTCATCTGCACGGACTTCGCCCAGGACAAGTGCTACACACACTGGTGCGGTGACAGCGCAAGCTTTGACGCGGAAACTTGCGAAACGCTTAAGAACAACGGCACGTTTCAGCGATGGCTCGGTACCATGAGTGATGAACAACAGTGCTGGCCCGAACAGTTCTATGCACCCTACTTTGACGCCGGCCTCTATGGCTGGCCGCCTCTGGTGGAGATCGCGAAGACATATGGCGTCAATCATTTTGTCGTAGCCTTCATCACGAGTGCGCAAAAGGGTACTGTGCTTTACAACGGCACATGCCAAGGCGGTTTTGCGGGAGTCATGCCAGTGTCGGCGGGACCAACCTACGAGAGTGAGGGCAGCTTCTACCATCTGTACGATGAGTTGAATGAGCTGCGTAAGATGGGTGGTGATTTCGTTGTTTCTTTTGGCGGCGCAATGGGCCTTGAACTGGCGGACTCTCCGGAGTGCCAGAATGGCGATCCGGTGGCGAACCTGGCTAAGGAGTACGGACGGATTCTTGACCAGCTTAATAGTCATCGTATCGATTTTGACATTGAGGGCAACGCGATCGGACTGGTGCAGAAAGACCTTGGGTGGACTTACAGGTTCGAAGCCGTTAAGCGCATGAAGGAGGAGCGCAATGGCAAGTTACAGGTGATTTGGACGTTGCCCGTCGCTCCGGACGGGCTTGCGATTCAAGGCACCGACTTCATCGACCTAATGATGAAGCTGGACGCACCCTTCGATCTCATCAACGTCATGAACATGGACTACGGGCCCTGCGATGTTGCGTGTCCCGCCGATCAATTCGGCGCCTGTGAACGCAACGCCATCAAGGGTCTCGCTCAACAGATGTTTGATGCAGCGCAGACTAACAACCGTCTGGAACAATACGGCTGGACTAAAGTGGAAGACACCTACAAGGTCCTCGCTTCCACACCCATGATCGGACTTAACGATCAACCCTGCCTCACCTACAAATTCGCAGACGCAGAACAAAACGTCTCCTACTTCAAAAATGAAATGCCGATCCGCATGCTTAGCATGTGGTCCCTCACTCGCGACTCACCCTGCTCCTTCACATACGCCGACTCCAACTGTAGCTCCTACACTGAGCAAACTGACAAACTCCAGTTCGTTGAGCGCTTCGCCAAATTCCAGAGCACCTGATTTTACCCATCTTAACATACCCACACGTCGTTAAGTACCCGGGCTACTGGGTTGCACTGTCACTTGATTGCACTATCGTTTGGCTATTGGTTTGCCAACCGACTGGCACTGTTGCTTGTCTGTATCAAGGGCGACCCTTGGCTGACGGTTCAGGTTTAGGCGAGGAGGGATTTGCCAAGCCACTTATGGACGCCGTACATGCTTGCTTTGAGTGGTCCTTTACTGATAACGTTGGCGACGGTGTTTGCTGCGAGGGCCTTTCGGTTGAGACCTTGCGAGGCGGCGGCCACGCACTGTTGCTCCCAGGGTAGGGGTCCGCCGAGTACATCCCCATTGCGTGTGCTGTCGAGCAGGCTGAACGGGTTGAGTATGCGGTTGAGTCGGGCTTTTGCGGAGGCGTGGGTAGCGAGGTTTTGTACTGATGTCGGTAGTTGATGGTAGAGGGAGCAATGGGCGCTATTGCTATATGATTGGTTCAGCAATAGCGTCTTAGCTTGTAACAGACGGAGGGCTTCGGCAATCTCAGGTGCCACCACGGGTGCTTGTCCGGTCGCACTTTTAGCGAACAGACCTTGAGCGAAGAGAGGAATTTTGTCGTTAGTTTTTTCAACGATCTCGCGCACCAGTTCCGCCTCCTTCGAGTCTTCGAAACACAAGCCATAGCGTTCACCACTGTGCTTCATCACCTCTTCTGGTGAACCCTCTCCCATTCGCTCGCCCTGACCCTCCCGGGCGTCACCGAACTGTCGGGGCTGATATCTTCCGGCCAAAATCAACGCGTCGCCTTCATGCACCTCCATGTTCCAAGCAGAGTTCAGACGCTCCAATGGCTTACTGTATTGGTGCAATAACAATAACGAGTTGCATGTCCACCCATCGTCCAATGCGCTGTCAAGCAACGGCAACCTAGCTCTGTTCCCAGCTTCGATCTTGGGCGTCGTCTCGCCTGTGGCTGCAAGGGAGAGCAGGTCGACCAGAGGGAACACACGCGGTGACTGCAGCAGACTAAGGCGCACATGGTGCAGTAAGTTGATCTTCTGTGCTCGACTGCTCCCGCTTAAGCTCAGCCGCGGCTCGTTGAGAAGTTTCCCCCCTTCCGGAGCCTCGTAGTCATAACATAACACCGGCCCCCGCATGAACAGAGGCAGCAAATACTGGTTCCAGGTGACCAAGTCCCTCTCGAAGTAACTCTTGCTCGTAACCACGTATTTACACAAAACCTTCTCCCTCTTGCCACCGCTCCTCTTGCCACCGCTCCAACATACGTCCAGCACACAAGGTGTCGAGGCGTACAAGTTCGGGTTCAGATACCGACTGAGCGTCGAGTAGTGCCCACTATGCAGTTCCTCGTTTTCCGAATGCCACCGTGATAAGGTCTTATCCAATTCGTCCACCACTACCAAAAACGTAGGCAGCTACAAACAATACGAGTTTACACCCGGACAACACGCGCGTGTGCTCGGTGCGCGTGTGTGCTCGGTGCGCGCAGCGTGCTTTTAAGCCCGTGCGATGGTTGGGGTACCTGCTGGTTGGGGTACCTGTTGGTTGGGGACGACGAAGCATTGGTTATATGACGGTAGGGCGTTTCGGAGAGGCATGTTAAAAATTCGGATGTCGTTCTTGAAGAGTGATCACCGCCTATTTCTAAAGAACCCAAAAGAGTGGGTCTTGACCCGGAACAAGCCGAAGGTGACGGCTTCCCCACCGGCACCACGAACGGCGGAGCCATCACGTGCGGAGTTGCGCGAAATGTTGTCTTTGCTGGAGAACACACCTGAAGAACATTTGGCGGAGTTGCACGTGGCGGAAACGCTGAATCGGATCTTTTTGTGGCTGCAGAACATCCGCGGAATGTTATTAGGACTAGGCGGTGCGGCGGTGGTGTTGAATGCGCTTCGGGGTGAGTCTAGCGAGGTCCTCGCGCGAGCCTGTTACCATCTCCTTTTGGACGAGAATGAGGAATGTGTGGAAC